TTTAACCTCTATCAGTTTTTGTTATTCTGACGACATTAGTCTAGTAAAAGACAGGTAATCGAATACAACTCTGAAACCAAATGTGTTCGAAGTTATAAACACGTAGGGTAATGGGATTGGTGTCAAAGCTCATGAACCCATACACCACTCCCAAATTTACCTGCTGTGGGAACAACAGTATTGGGTTGGTTGCCACTTGACTTTATTTTTTGTTCTTTGTAGCTAGCAAACACCATTGCCATTGTGTTGATCAATATGTCGTGCAAACTGAGGGCCTGGCATTGTTTTAAGGAAAAATTTCATTCTTCGCATTACGCATTCTACTCCAAATATTAAATATATTAACTGGATGCTTATGTAGACACGCTAGAGTTCCCTAAACTATCCTCCTAGCCCTAAATTTTGGTCCCTTATCTAGTGACGTCTATCCAAAATATTTGTCAAATTTTCTTTTTCAGGCAGTGATTTTTATACCGGTAAGTCGCAAAGATGTTTATGCAATACCTCACACCGAATCACATTTCCCATCGATGCACTTTTAAACGTAGATACAAAGCCAGGATAGTCAAAATACCCAGTACTCTAAATAGAATAAGAACGACAGATACAGATTTAGCATATTCAAGATTAATTACTGAAGCAGATATCCAATTGATCGAAGTATTTTATACTTCTCAGAGCCCATTTTGTAGGCATTCAACATTCAACATCGAGACTACTGATAAACCACATCCCATTTTGGGGAGTACGCAAACGTAATAGACATGTCAGAAAAATAGAAAACTTCATATTTCACCATCATTCGGTACATGCGGGAAGAACTAGTCCCAAGCGGAATTCTGTCACTTTCCAATTTGGTAGTTCGTATCTACGACCTTCACACAAAGCATTTGATTATCTCTAAGAAACATACTGTGGGGATGAACTCGCAACTAGAACAACAACGTGCACGCCTGGTGTATGTGATATTGTGTGAGGTAATGCAAAAACGTGAACAACACAGTATATTCTCATCACCAAAGCAGGTCTTGCATACAGTTTTTGGGGTATTTGTGCCCAACTGTACTTGATTCACCAAACTTTCAAATCACCCTTCTGTGACTAGTGAGTCACTCGTTTTACACCGCTACTGAAAAATGAATGGAGTAACATAATTATTACATTTTTATATGATTCGAGTGCATGTTGCTCACAGAACTGATAATTATGTTAATCAACAATAGATAACAAACAACCACATTCTGTTTGGTCACGCTATTTGAAATAAAAAAGCATACCATATTAGTACAGTTTCATTTTCAACATTTTGTTCAATTTGTCGGGTAAGCTACCTTACCGTTACCTTAATCAGCTTGGTTGATGAGAAATTGTGATGTGGGTACTGAGGTCACGTGGCGCTTAGTTTAGTCGAAAAAAGCTCAGTTTGAAGCTACAGTCGGTTATCACTGGAACTCGATCGAACCTCTGACCGCCAGTCACACACAAACAGGAAGGGAGAACACAGGCAGTACACGTGGGTGGGTGTTTGTCGCAGGACCTGCAATAGCGTATGAAGGTACGAGACAAGTTAGGGGAGAAACTCATGGTTCATACACCCTCGTGTGGCTCTTGCACTTATGTCTGTTGTCTTCCATCCACTATTTTTCCACAACAAATTTGCAAGGTACCAAAGCAACTAGAGCCCGCCAGTGGCAATATCAAACTTTTTGACCGGTTTGATGTCAATGCAGTTACAAAACAAACTGATTTGTTAAGCACATCTTATGCATGTACCGGGCTGACCGAATTGGAGAATTAAAACTATCGCGCCAATTGGATGACCGTGGATCGTAAAACCCTTAATCGGGTTTTAAACTATTCAGGCAAATAGAACAGAAGCTCCTAGTTGACAAAATGATATACTCAAAATATAGTACACATGCATGATATTTTGCTGATAAATGCCATTTTTCTTGGCATAACCCTGACGGAGGACGCATTCCATCAAGTAAAACAAATATCTTTCAACAGATTCCCTTCTACTCAGTAAAATCTCACTCATCATTATTGTGTAGAGTGATAAGAGAAGCACACCATTCGCGTAAGATCATGTGACACCAATGCAGATTGAGACTGAATATGATTGATGATACCCGGAAAACCAAAGTATATTTGTGTCCCATGAACACAATTTGCATCCTCAGTGTATTTTTTTCTTTTCATCGAATTGATTATCAAATGAAAACGTCAAACCAAATCGACACTGACTATACAACCTGAATCACAGGTTTGGTGCCTAGAAGCGATCCACCGCAATTCTATTTTGATCAGATCTACTTGTACCAGGCATTACTGATTGTCTGCTTCGCTCAAATGTCTGGATATATATGTTTGATTAACCAGTGGTCGATTAATTGTAGTTCACTGACGAATGTTTGTTGTAGTGCTTGTTGTTGTTATTATTATTGTTGTTGTTCTAGTGCAGGAATCCGCATTGGAGCTTTTCATAGATTTTATCTTATAGGTTGATTGATAGTGACCACACAATATGGTCTTTTTGGTTCCAACCAATGAACATGTGCGCGCAAAAAAAACGTGACACTGGTCATCTGTGTACAACCATATCGTGATCCCTATGATCAGAACTTTCCGAGTAGCCATGTGAAATGATTTGCATGTCGGTCCTGTTAATCTATTCCCTATTCAATAGATCACAGGTAAACGTTCATCTGTTTGTTTGTAAGCGCGCTCGCGTTTGTATGTGGATCAAGGTTGCTGGAATGATCAAAACTTGATATGGAGATGACTGTAAGGAATTCGTGGTTGTTGATCACGAAATGCAAAGTTATTTGACGCACCACAAAACCATTTTGAAAGTACAATCTCATCCCGCGCGCATGAAAACGTTTGCGGTGTGTGTACACCGAATCTACTGGGATTTGAACCCAGGCACGAATTGGTATTACCTCGAAGCGTCAACCGCTTGAGCTATCCGAACTGGTTATCAGTGGTTTGGTACTGATCAACACAACAGTACAAAAACGCATCGGGCTTTAATAAGCAGCCCACCTAATGCACCGCTCCTCCGTCGGTTACTATCATAAACAAGCAAGAAAAACAACTTTGTGTTTAAAATAGCTTGCACATTCCTCACTATGTCAAGGACGTTTGAATCATTTGCTTGGAATTTGTCTATGATATTTAAACATTTCAATATTCTACAACATCTGGTGACGGTGTAGAATCTTTTCTGGGGTCAGTTGTACAATAACTGTTACTATTTGGAAGTGGACGATCACAGTCAGCCCCAGGAATAGCGTAATCTCGACAGCACCCATGCAAACAGTTATTGACATAAAGCTATAAATACCGAGTTATTCAAACTTGAAAATGCCTTGGGATAGCTAATTTTTAAGGTTACAATATGCTTACCTTTTGCCCACATAAAATACAATGCTTACGTTCCGGGCTTATTTCGACTGCCTGTTTGGATGAGGCTTTCGGCTAAAAAACCCCGTGTATTCTATCAATCAATGCACCTAATGATAATAGTACATCTTCCAAGATTGTACTTTTAGCTTGATCTAATAGAGCATTGTGGTATATATACTTGGGGTTGCCCACAAGTCGCGGATACCGTATTTATGTCGTTTTCCAATCAATGACCATCTGGTTCTCAGTGGATACCTGGATGGTTCTCCTTCAAACGCTTACGATCAGTGACTGTGGTGTCATAACTTCTCCCTCGTCTTGGGTTCTTCCTTTATTCCGGACGCGTAGTAGAAGTAACAATGCGAATGATTAACAGTCGTCATGTGCCGTGAATGGTCGGTAAGATCAGAGAGCATGAGTTCGATGCATGCTGTTCACAAATCCAATTCCATTTGTCCTGATTGAACTTATGGTGATGGTGATCCATGCACACGCCTTCTGTTCCAACAGCAGCCTCATAACTCATACAGAGATGGAAGTGAGTACAGCGTCATACAGTTGTGTAGTTTATTTTGCAGTCACGATCCATGCAATGTTTTTTCCTCTACCGGTGTTTTGTTATTTCATGTAAATTCAGGGACAATGGTTTTCGTTCCACTCCACGATTCTGTCGTTTCCTTACTGTAGAACTACTAAATTTAATGTTTGACTTTTTAGCCACTCCATTTACTGTGACTACAAGTGACGGATTGTGATGGGGCTTTTTCTAAAATTCCAATCATTTCATGAAATGAATATTGCACACATACACCATGAGTTTCAGCCAAGTGTTATTCTACATTTGCACTTGATATTGCGTACATAAGTAAACCCTGGTTTACCCTATCATAGTCCATTTTAATTTGTTTATGATCAAAGTCACTCATGAAAACACAACCCTGTTGCGATTTTCCCTCGTCCCAAAACAGTTACTTTCTCGACTGATGGAAACAATTGACCAATTTCTTGCTTAAACTTCCCAACGTGAGTGAAACCACAGGAGAGAAATCATCTCTGTTGTGTGATTGTCAGTCCGTCTGTGTTTGTGAACCGACTGGGGACATGTAAACCAACAATTGCTGGTCGACTTCTACTTAATCTTAATGCCACAAAGAAGAAAGAGAATGACTCATCGATCGATGCTAACGATTGCGTGGATTCAGTAGAACGAAAGGGTTTTGTACAGTTTAGGCGTGTAAATGTCTACATTGACAAACGTGCCTTCATGTGCAACCTTTCGTGGGTTTCGCATTGTCGGACCATGACTACATTCAGCGCCCTTGTTAAATTAGCCAATCAGGAGCAAGGATGATTGGGTTTCTACCATTTGCGCGTACGTGTGCACGCGCACACACACGGTGTGCGCGACCCCCGTTTGCCTTAAGCACTGGGTCTGTCTGACCCACGCGCGCGCCATTTGTGCGTTGGCGAATAGATGTGTCCTATAAAAATTGTGCCTTGTTTGGTATACGCCATAAGAGTTCGTCAGTTTCTTTGGTTTGCAGCACCTCCGCGCTGTTGTACACCAGCCGTGTTTCCGCTGTGGTGATATGTCAAATTATCGTACGGAAATGAATATTCCGGTGACTCGTGATGCTCGCACGTTTGAACAACGACGACGAGACATGCTATCCAATTTGGAACGACGCACAACTACCAGTACGTCGACTATGTCACAGAAACAAGTGATATCCGGCACGGACCCCATGATCAGCCGAGCTGGATCGGATACCACTGCCTCCTCGTTGACCGCTGACACCGGACTGAGCGGTTCACATCATTCGCTGATTCGTGGCCGGGATGACTGGGATCAGGAAGTAGATCGCTGGATCGCGGAAACTCGCAGTCGATGGAACGAAGATATGCGACGAATGAGGCAAGATATGTTTGCTTTGGAAGTGAGTTGTTCATATAAACCCAGGAATTAATCTGCCATCAGTCACTAAATCCACTGCACGTAAACAGACAAATTAAACCCAGCGTTATAGAGCAGAAAATTGTCTGAATATCAGATCAACTCAGTTTGTTTTCTTGAAAATAATGCAATAAGTAGCCGTGTTAACATTGAAATGAACCTAGACCGTGGGAGATGCGTAACGCAATAACCAAACGAAAATCACCGGCGTCGTTAAACCGGAACTCGTAGAAGGAAGAGTTTGACGACGGAATTCATTGTGCTGTGGGCTGTTAATCCCAAGTGATCTAATCCGGACTGCTCCCCACACTTGAAACTGGCCAAAACGGTATTCGCTTCAGGCTCCCACTGAATATGGATTTCACTTTATGGTCATGCTGCTTGGTGGGACTAAACGACCTTCCAGCATTAGTAATTATCTTACTTTAGTCTGCTATGATAAGACATATCAGTTCCGTTCAACGGAGTATCTTACCCTCTGGTTGCACAACGAAGCACTGGAAATATGTGAAGCCAGACTCCGGAGTGATTACACTTCCAGTTTAAAAGGTACCTACTATTTGTCGGTATTATGAAGATCCAGACAAATACATTTTTAAACGTGTCCTAATTACTCATTTTCTCACTGCGATATGAATATAGCTGGTTTTTATTCTTGGATATGTTCGCAAAAGTTGATCCAGCAATGTTTTTTATAAGGTAATTCGGTTGGCTCATTGTCCGCATTCCTGTTTCTGCGTGAAATCTTATTGTTTCCTGAGTTCACAGGTTGTCCTTCAGACTTCACCTTCCTTCACAATCTACAGTTCATCCAGCCAACCAGACTCTAGTCTCATTTTCCGTGCGATCTCATTAATGGACGGATGGCCACCGTCGTGTCCGGTGTTTCCAACTCCAGACCACTTGAAAAACAGGTCACCAGTGTGTCACCTAGGGGAAATCAAAAGTAGTCTGTTTGGGTTTAGATCTAGCCATTTTCTTTGGGCAATTTGAGGTGTTTAGTCAAGAAAGTTATTGTCCCTGTTCCTAGGTGAACTGAAATGAAGTTCAATCTGTGTCAGGTTTATCACGTGCATGGGGCTTCAAATGCAGATTTTTAACTCATCTCCATTGTGAAGTTCGTGACATTTTTACGTTTACAATAGGAAATAATCAATAATTTTCGGTGAGAATTTAATTATCTCGACAATCAGTGCCTCTGTAGGGACGGCTTCTCCGTTACATCGTCATCTATCCAACTCCTATTTTTCTGTCCTTTCTCTCCGCTCCAGCCTGTGGATGATTTCGGCCTGGATCGATGGGGTCACATGGACAGCATTTATCCGTTCGATCGACCTGGTGAGCCCTCTTCCATGATGGCCCAGATGGAACGTGAAATGCAATCGCTCAGACAGAAAATGGACTCCATGGGACCTCTTAGCGGTACTACACGAATTATGGGCCCCGGAAGTTCAACCATACAGTCGTCCAGTTCTCGAATCACCACAAGCTCATCAACCAGCAGCTCAGGTGATCCCCGAAACATGGTTACCAAGAGCAACGTAGAAGAGTCAGTGCAACACTCACGCACG